TTATTATTGTTGTTGTTGTAAGAGAATATACAAAATAAGAGTATTGTGTTAACTTTTCACAAAGTGTCTATCAATGATAAGGGTGTATATGTTTCATTTTGAAACATGTGGGTCTCTTATTCTTTCACTAAACCTCAGGGGTGTTCACGGAAAAACCTCAATGTTTTGATGTTATTGTAAGAGAGTTACAACAATTGATCAGTTGGAGATATTTAACAAACATCAAGTTAATTAAATAGATTTACACACGTTTAGATGTCTTCAACTTTTATTCAAATTCAGAACATTATTTTAGCTATAAGATATAGATATTATCTCAATGTGCTGCAACAACACTTCATTTGTAAATAATATAGTAGATGAATTTTGAAATATAGACATTGGAATTCCTACTTTAATTGAACTTAATTTCTTAATTTTGTCATTCTTTGGTTCATTGGGTGCTTCTTTTCTCTATTCCTTGCTTCGTTCTTCTTCCAACCTTTAAGGCACATAATAAACTCATTATCTTCATATATATATATATATATATATTGAAACCATGAGATAAAGCATCGGAGCCACCGAGGCCTAACCGAGGCCACCCTTAGGCCTCGGGTGCAATAGTTTCAGGATATAACAAATGAGGAGTGCTAGTCTTACAAAGACAAATACAAAGGGAGCATACAAAGATAACCCCCACCCTTGATCTTTATGATTTCTCTCTCTCTCTCTCTCTCTCTCTCTTTCTCTTTTTCCGTTTTTTCTTTGTTTTTTTCTTCACTTTGTAACCTTCTTTATATAAGTCTTTATAAGGATAACATTTTTCATAACAAATATAGAAAAATTAATAGAGGTTTTCTATAATGGCGAGCCCATATATATATATATATATATATATATATATATTGAAACCACGAGGAGCCACCGAGGCCACCTTTAGGCCTCGGGTGCAATAGTTTCAAGATATAACAAATATAGAAAAAATAATAGAGGTTTTCTATAACAATGAGCCCATATTTTATTTCATGAATGATATTGGGTAATTTTTATTTGTACTCATTATCTTATGTTTTAATTATGGAAAGATTTAACAAACATCAACTTAATTAAATAGATATACTCGTTCAGATGTATTCAACTTTTATTTAAATTCAGAACATTAATTCAGATGTATTCAACTTTTATTTAAATTCTGAACATTAATTCAGCTACCAGATAAAAAACCTAATGATATTATCTCAATGTGCTGCAACAATAATTCATTCGTAAATAATGAAGTAGATGAACTTTGAAATACAGACACGAAATTCCTACTTTACTTAAGCTTAATTTCTTGATCAATTCATCATTCTTTGGTTCATTGGGTGCTCCATTGTTTGTTGTTGATTCTTCTCTCTATTCCTCACTTCGTTCTTATTCCAACCTTTAATTAAGGCACATAATAAACTTAGGGCCTATTTTAGATAATAATATATGGGATAATGAACAATACTATATTTATAACTGAGTCATACAACTAGACAAAATAATCCTTTTATATGAATTTTATACAATTTTTGACTAGTTGTATGACTCAATTGTAAGCAAATATTATTGATTTGGATTATATAGGCTAGTATGGATTCCAATTAAACATCTATCCGCTGATTATAGATAGGATGATGACATGTTACGAATTAGGAAAAGTTACCAAGAGGATGTAAGCCTCTGGATTAAAGGTGGAACAAATGGGCTGGGTTAGGCGGGTCAACCCTAACCCGGCCCATAACAAAGCGGGTTGAACCCGGCAGCAACCCCTGAACGGGCCGGGTTGCAAAATGGCAACCCGCAACTGGGCGGGTTGCTATTTTGTCTCTTTTGAAAGAGACCCGCCAACCCGCCGAGTTGGCCGAAAAAAATAAAAAATTTTATTTTATTTTTTAAATTACCCCTTTACCCTTGGAATATAGCCATTTTATAGCCGTTGAAGGGTCTTTTTCGTCATTTTTCTTTCCCATTTTTTTCTATAAATTGGCCCTAAACTCTCACATTTTTCTCACAACTCAAATTCTCTCATATTCTCTAATCTCTAATCTCTCAATTATTCAATTATTCTCTTAATCTCTTTGTTATCAGTTTGTTCGTATTTTAATTTTTATTAGTTTTTGCAATTTTTAATTCATATTTCCAATTTTCCAAATTCCAATTTCCATTATTCCATATTCCAATTCTCTTTCTTTAATTTTTATTTCTTCTACATCAAATTTTTTTTTTTTTCAACTACAATGGATAGATATTTCTCTCCCATCAATTACAATGATGAAGGAAACTACTATCCTAGTCCTAGTCCCGCTGATTTTACTAACATAAATGCAGGAGGAGATTCAAATAGTCCTGCTTTCCCATTCTCAGAATCCGATACACATCAAAATATGCTCCTGATTCCAACAGCTTCCGGTGGTTCTAGAAGTCATCCTCATAATCGTCGTGCTCGTCCAACTTCATCTCAAGCTGAGGCGGGATCATCAACTGCCGTAGAAAGCGAAGACAGACACACATCAGACGTTTGGGCACATTTCGACAAGTTTTACGAGATAGAAAATGGCGTTCAAGTCAAGAAAACGAGATGCAAATACTGTGGAAATATTTATAAAACTGATTCAGGTAATGGTACTAGTACTTTAAAAAGGCATGCTAATAAACATATTAATCAACAAGGAAATAGAGAAAATAATCAAACTCAAATAACTAATATGGGTACTAATTGACGTTATAATTCTGATGTATATAGGGAACAGTTAGCTTTATATATTGCTGCAACTGATCAACCTATTAATATGGCTGAAGATAAATATTTTGAAAGATTTGTTCAAAATTCATTTTTTCCAGGATTTAAAAGTTATTCTAAAACTGCAACTAGAAATGATTTAATAAAATTGTTTAAAAAAATGAAATTAGAATTAAAAAATAAATTTCATACTTGTCATATTAGTGTGCTCTAACGCTGATATTTGGAGTGGTAGAGCTAAACAATTAATTTGTGTGACAGTCTTATTTTGATATGATGTAAATTAAATAAATCTTTATTAGGATTTAGATAATGGATGTTGATCATAGAGGTGAACATTTATAATAAAATTGTTAGTTTTAGAAGTATTATTTTTGTTAGTAAAGTGATAGTTTAACTTTAGATAATGCAAGTTCTAATAGTAAAGCTATAGATTATTTTCAAAGTAATTATCCTTTATATATAATTTGAAGTTTTTTCACCAACGTTGTGCAGTTCATGTTATAATTTATTGTGAAAAGTGTATGAAAATAATTAAGAAAATATTAATAGAATTAGAGATTGTTTATCTTGGATTACTAGAGTAATAAAAAAAATGTTAATTTCAAGACGCTTGTATAAAATCAATATGTCTCCTAGAACTTTTGCATTAGACACACCTATTAGATGGAATAGTACTTATTTAATACTTGATTCGTTTATTTATGCTAATATAATTAGTTTTTTGTAGCAAATAATAGAGGTCCTCATTATTTGGTAGAACATGATGGCAAATAGCTAAGTATTTCATTCTTTTCTTAAAACTTTTTACCAATCCACTTTACAACTTTCTGGTGTGTATTATCCTACTAGTCTATTGGTAATACATACAATTAAAAAATTTTCGAGTTATTTTATAAAAACAAAGATAATGTAATTTTAATGCACCAATAAAGGTAATGGAATTTTTTTAAAAAAATATTGGGAACCCATTCATTTTCTTTATTGTTTAGGTGCTATATTTGATCCTAGAATTAAATTAGCAGGTTTAGAAAAGGTTTTGACAATTTATGTGAAAATTTACAAACCGAAGTATATGCCAATCAAATAGGAGAGGTAAAAAATACATTTTTCTAAGTAATTTCCAGTATGAAAACAGGTATGGGAACCCGCAAAGAGGCAAACATCCAGGGAAGCTGAATCAAGAAACAAATGAAGACTTCTACTCTTGTGCACTAAATAGGCCGAAGAGGACCCGAATCCGAAGCACAACCTCCTCTTCAGAAGCTCCACTACCAACACAACTAATGTACTGTCTCCATGCAGTCGCAGAGTATGAACTTCAACAATATTTGGCAACCCCTGAAATGTTACCAGTAGATCCACGCAGAGAGCTAACATTGATCTCTTAGACTATTGGAGAGCCAGAAAATGTATTTTTTCGATATTATCAAGACTTGCCTTGGATGTTTTCGCTGTTCCTGTCTCAACCGTTCATCCAAACAAACATTTATGCAAGTGGAAGATTTTAAATAAATGAGGACTAAACTTTCACCATAAATTTTGAAGTCCTCACATGTCTTCGAGATTGGGAACGGTCGCGCCATCAAGGTTAATACGAGGTGTCGATGATACTTTAATAGAATCATTTCAATTTTGTAATATAGATGATACGGATGAGGGAGGTCCTAGTGAACCCCAAAATTAGTTGTTTTGTAAATTGTAAATTAATTGTCAATTATTGCACTCTTTTTTCCTTACCAAGTTTTTGTCCTATTGGGTTTTTCTTGGTAAGGTTTTTAACGAGGCAATAATTATTGTAATTTCTTATTTTATTTTTTAATAAATGAATAAATTTAGTTATTCTTATATTAAAATTTTAATGTATAAAAATTGAATTAATATTTGGAATGTTAACAAAAAATTAATTAATTTAATTTAATTATTGATATTTGAAAAGAAATTAACAATTAACTAAAAACGATTACATTTATTCATTTATAAATTGTTAATTATTCATTTGAAAAGTTAATTAAACATTTAAACTTAAACAAAATAAAACAAAACAAAATTAGAAAAAAAATCAAAAAGCAGGTTAACCCGACCCAACCCGCAGCCTAACTCGACGGGTTAGGGTTGGCAGTCCGGGTTGGGCCAACCAATGTTAGCGGACGGGTCAGGACCGACCTGTCATTAACAGCAACCCTCTGGGGTCGGGCCGGGCCGGGCCTGGCCGGGCGAGTTGCATTTCCACCTCTACTCTGGATTGAAGTTACCTGTATTCTTGACAGAGAGCACAACAATGACAGCATAAATGAGTGACCCAGTCCAGTGCAGGACCCTCAGCAAGGTTGAACGTTCTCCTCAGTTTAGTTCGGTAGTCTGCTGTCTGTTCACATAACCCATACTTCCACTTGCAGCATAAGCCTATCCCCAAGCACATCCCCATGTAAAGCGTTGTACTAGTACAACATGCTTCATTAGTCTGAAGCAGCAGAAAACGACTAAATTGTATTCATAAGAAACATAAACAAATAAATAAAATAAAATAACGCAAAAGAAATATTTCAATACTTACCGATGTTGCCTTCATCTACCATTTCTGCAACCTGGCCGAACGTCAAGCATGGGAATACAGCAGTTACTGAAATGTAAGAAATTAAAAATTATTTTGTATTTATTCATTATTCATTATTTAAGATTTAAAAGTTATTAATTAGTTGGCTTATAAATTTATAAATTTAAATACAAAACCTTTCAACTTTTTACGCAAGTGGGATTCAATATTCGATGCTTAGATCCATGGCGGCGATAAGACATTTACGTAGTTCAAAATGAAACCACTGAGTTTGAGAGAGAGAGTATCACCATTGCACGGATTATTGCAGCAAGCACATAGCCCACTTTTCCAAGCTTCAGCAGGCTGACCTGCTGGATTAGAATCTGGAGGCTGCGGTAACTCTGTCTCTGGTGACTTTGATTTATTATCTTCTTTTTCTGTTTGAACAGAGGCTTCAGAAACTGCACCCAAATCATCCATTAATGTCGACTCCTATTTCACCGAGTCTACGCTTGTAGGGAGACTACAGAGGTAGCTCAGTATCATGTAAAGACAGCTAGCATTGTTCATTCCAAGGTTTTAAAAACGACCCAGGCCCAACCCAGTCAAGCCACCGGGTCACAGGTTTGACAGGTTGAATAGTGATGATATTATGCTGATGTCAGTATGATATCAGCAAAAAACAAAAAAATTAAAAAAAAATACGATTTTTATCTTTAACTGTGATAACAAAAATTTCGATGTAACAAATATATTCAAATTTGAAATGAAATTAAAACTACAAGTCCACAACATACCAACACTACAAGAAAAATAGCGTTTGGATCTATCAAAAATAAATGTTAATAGTCAAATTAGACGTTGATTGTTTATCGCGTCTAAAATTTCTAGTCGCTAACTGTTGATGCTCGTTTTTGGCACCAACGAATTGTCACGTGCGTAACGTTGATTGGCTGTTAAATACACGTGAAAATAGAATATCTCAAGCGAAATAAATGCAAAGGGAGTTTTTTAAGTGGTTCGGATGCTAAGGTAGCAAGTCCTACGTCCACTGATTTGTATTGATATTAGTGTGGGTCAGGTCGCAACTGCGGACTGACTTACAAAAGAGTTGGAAAAAGCAAATGTGTTTACAGGAGAGAGAGAGAGTATTTCTTAGTATGAAAATGGCCAAATCCCCTTAACGAAGGGGTCTTCTTCATTTTATATCAAACTGAAGCGTGTAATCATCATTAAATCCATGGTTTGGTGTGATTGTNTAACCCACTTTTCCAAGCTTCAGCAGGCTGACCTGTTGGATTAGAATCTGGAGGCTGCGGTAACTCTGTCTCTGGTGACTTTGATTTATTATCTTCTTTTTCTGTTTGAACAGAGGGTTCAGAAACTGCACCCAAATCATCCATTAATGTCGACTCCTATTTCACCGAGTCTACGCTTGTAGGGAGAGTACAGAGGTAGCTCAGTATTATGTAAGGACAGCTGGCATTATTCATTCCAAGGTTTTAAAACCGACCCAGGGCCAACCCAGCAAGCCAGGGTTACACGTTTGACAGGTTGAATCGTTATGCGGCCAGACGACCTGAGCATATCCAAAGTTTGCCGAAACGATAAATTGATATCCAAAAGGTTTTGAAACGACAAACAGGTATCTTCTGTCATATTCGATTAGTGATTTCTATTTGTTAACAATGAAAAGACTAAAATACCCTTGAGTTTGATATTTTAGTTTTTTATAAATTTAAAAATTTCTAAAAAACCCCCTAGGTTTGCTAATTTAACTAAACACCCCCATATATAAAAGGTTTATTAAATGACAGAAATACCCCCACCACTGCAGTGCCAGATTCCGGCCACCACCGCCGGAATCTGGCCAGAAATTGCGTTATGACACAGATCCCATCGGATCTGTGTCGTAACACGTCATCTGGCCTTTTTCGGCCAAATCTGTGGCTGATCTGGTCGGAAAAGGCGAGATCTACGGTCAGATTTGGCCGTCGACACCGCAGATGGAGTTTTGCGGCCACGACGGCCAGATCTAGCAGTATATCTGGCCTTTTCCGGCCAGATCAGCAACGGATTTGGCCGGAAAAGGCCAGATCTGTCCGTCAAGGCCGCAAAACTCTATCTGCTGCCTCGACAGCCAGATCTGGCCTTTTTCGGCCAAATTCGCCCTCGACGGCCACCACGGATCTGGCCGAAAAAGGCCAGATCGACACGTTACGACACAGATCCGACGGGGTCTATGTCGTAACGCAATTTCCGGCCAGATTCCGGGGGTGGTGGTCGGAATCTAGCACTGCAGTGGTGGGGTGTTTTTGTCATTTAACAAACTTTTTATTATGGGGGTATTTAATTAAATTAGCAAACCTAGGGGTTTTTTAGAAATTTTTAAATTTATAAAAAACTAAAATATCAAACTTTTAAGGGCATTTTAGTCTTTTCACTATGAACAAACAGAAATCACTAACAAAACATGACGGAAGGTACCTGTTTGTCGTTTCAAAACCTTTTGGGTACCAAATTATCGTTTCGACAAACCTTGGGTATGCGTAAGTCGTTCGGCCTTATTATGCTGGTATCAGTATGTCAGTATGATATCAGCAAAAAAAAAAATAAATAAAAAAAATAAATACAGATTCTAATTTTAACTGTGATAATAAAAATTTACACATAACAAATATATTCAAACCTGAAATGAAATTAAAACTATAAGTCTACAACATACCAACACTACAAGAAAAATAGCATTTGGCGTCTATCGAAAATAGACGCTAATAGTCGAATTTAAACACTGATTGTTTATCGCGTCTAAAATTCTTACTCGCTAGCTAGTTGCAAAATCGTTGTCGCAGAAAGTATCCATGACTAAAATCATGGTTAGACGCCACAACTTTTTCTTTAACGACCAGCAATTTAGTTACTAATTGCCTCGAAAAATAGTCCCCTAGATTAGACGCCAAATGAATGAGGGTAACTTAGTAAAATTGCATCGTGACTATTGATTTAGTCACAGAATATAGCTTTAGTGACAAAAAAATGAATATTAATTCCCAAAAAATAGATGCTGAATACTTAAGGATAATTTGGTAAAACTTTAGTTGTAATTGCCAAAACTTTTAGTCGATGAATGTTGGACCGGAATATGATAATCAACTATATAAAATATGAAACCCACACACCCCAGGAAGCTGTGACCTATGACATTGTTATGATGTTTATAATATACAAAAGCTCCATTGGTTAGTTTCAACAACTCATGATAAATCAAAAGATCCATGCCCTTCACTGATTGCATATAGCAGTTTCTTCTAAAACACCAAAAACAGAAAACTTCTATTTGTCAATCACACAAACCAGTCCCACCAAATTGACTGGATTTCTCTTTATCAAATCAACTCCATTCAACACAAATGTAAATCCAACGCATTCATCCAACATAAAAAAAAAATAAAAATAAAAATTGAAAAACGGAAGTATCTAATTACCGTGGCTGATTTGTTTTTTGAGATGAAGAAAACGATGAACCAGAGTGTGCAGATGAGATGAAGAACCCGATGAACCAGAGCGCAGATGGAAGAAAGAAGAAGAAGACCGCTGCCCTTTTTTTTTCAAACGCTTTCCCCAAAAGTTTTAAATAAACCTAAAACTTTTTTAATTCTAATTTTTTATTTTAAAAGTTTTAAATAAACCTAAAACTTTTTTAATTCTTTCTTTTGATTTTAATTAGAGGTGGGACGCCCGTCCATCTTAGGGACTGTCGTCCCTTAAGTATGGACGGCCGTCCATAATTAAGGGACGCCCGTCCCTAAGGAATGGGACGGGCGTCCAAATATTTTTTTTTAAATTTTTAAACAAAATTATGGACGGGGACAAGGCTAAAACTATAATGTTTAAAATGGGGATGCGATTACACCTATGAAGCTGACGAAGGAGTCGTCGTAGTTTCTAGTTAAAGAGAGACAAAGTCGGTGTCGTTGTCTCTATTACGAAGGACTAAAAGTCCACCTCTTTCTTCACAAATAAAAAAATTTAAAAAAGGGGTTCCTGTATACTATAATATACTTTGATTGTTAATTTTTTACAAACACGACAAAAGCAATACTCTCCACCGTCAAAACCTTTTGTGATTGAAAACTTTTGACTGAATGTTATTGTTGAAAAAAAATTTTAATGGTTCGTATTTTTTTAATCTGATTTTGATAAAATGGTACTGTAACTTTATAAAGTTAAGGCCAACACACTTTTAGGGACATTGTGAATTATGAAAAAAGAACTTTATAGGTAAAAAAAAATAGAAAGACAAAAAAATCAACAATAAAAGGAAAAAAGAACAAGTTTTTTTTTTTTTTTTTTATTTTCCTCAATGTCTTATCAATTGTTAAAGTTTAATATTTAAATCATTTGATTTGTATAGATTTTGTACGTTTGCGACAAAAATGTAGAATTGCTTATATTATTTGTGTTGTTGTGTTGTTGTTGTAGGGAGAATATACAAAATAAGAGTAATGTGGTTAACTTTTCACAAAGTGTCTATCAATGAGAAGGTTGGTTATTGTTTCATTTTGAAACATGTGGGTCTCTTATTTCTTCACTAAACCTCTGGGTGTTACGTTTCAAAAACCTCACTGTTTGATGTTATGGCAAGAGAGTTTACAACAGGTTGATCAGGTGGAGATATTTAAACAAACTCAACTTAATTAAATAAGATTTACACACGTTTAGATGGTATTCAACTTTTATTCAAATAAGAACATTATTTCAGCTATGAGATATTAGATTGATACTCCAATGGCGCAACAAACACTTCATTCTGTAAATAAATATAGTAGGATGAGAACCTTTGATAGAGACATTGGAAATTACTATTTAATTGAACTTAATTTATTTCGTCATTCTGGGTTCATGGGTGCTTCTTTTCTCTATTCCTCGCTTTGTTTTCTTCCAACCTTAAGGCATGTAATTATATATATTGAAACCATGAGATAAAGCACCGGAGCCACTCGAGGCACCTTATGTTAGTGTATATTAGTGTATGCCCCAGAAACATTCTGTTGTCGGTTTCAGAGGCATTTTGTCTTGTATTATAATATCATAAATAATAGAAGAAGAGTTTCAATGTTATATCGTAAATGCCTTTCTTTATTCAATCATGCATTTAAATAAAGTAGTATATGAATTATCCAGATGATTCATTTAATCGGTAAAATGAATTATCGAAAAGGGTTCCTACGGAAGCAATATAATTTAGGGAAACTAATTGAACGTAGACATACCGGATGCTTCCGAAAGATATCATGAGTTGATATAAGTATGGATGACGATGATAGTCATGTCATTGGGGCATTGGTAGGATTAATGGTTGGTGTAACTATTTTTCAAACGTGACCGAAAGAACGACAAATCACTTGGAAAGATGTAGTCAAGATTTATCGTTTGGTTATATCATGCACGATGTAGTCCTTTGACCTGAGACATTTGTACGTCGAATCTGATAGGAATGCGTATGGTTCATTACGGGGTATAAGTACGAGACTAATCTGTTTCGTATAATTAAGCCTATTTGGTTATGCTTGTTCTAGGGCGGAAACGGAACGGTGGTCAAGAGGGGATCCATTAACTCGAAAATATAGGATCGGAAGTACCCGCTGACTCCATCCGGATGTCGAGTTCCTAGACGAACATTGATAAATGTCAAAAACACTGAATTCTCTGGCCAGAGTACTATTATTAGTCATACAAAAGTAAAGTTGTGATGACAAGTTCCGGACATATTGATCGACGATTCGGTTAGAAGATCAGTTTAGGATTTTGACGTTCCATTGAATCCATACTCGATTGGATATTCATGGAGGGACTTACCTGCATGGTACGTATGATCTGAAATGGGTTACGAGGAAGAATATTCTTAATCGTGGTTTAGGGACTTGGGCACATTGCTAGATGTTACTATAGGCGTGGGGCCTCGGACAAGGTTTCGGATTTCATCCAGAAACCGGCCCAAGGCTAATCCACGGTGGACCTACATGGTCACACCATAGCCTGAGAAGTTAGAGAAAGATGAGAGAGAGAAATGATATCCGAAGAGGGCTAGCACTTTCCGAGGGTAATAAAAGGGTAGATTTCTATAGTAATAGTTACATAGAAAATCATTTGGACATTTAAGGGTTAAAATGGGTCAAGCAATATTAATTATATATTAATTATTATATCTTAAAGTGTTAAGATTAATAAGATGAACACAAAAAATAACCTTTTAATAGTTAAAGGGTATAAAAAGGGGTAAATTTTTTGGGTGTTAATGTAAACTAGTTTGGTTTACATGGGCCCTCGAATAATATTGATTATTCAAAAGGATAGACTATTAAATTCGTGAGGTCCCTTATTAAAATAAGATTTTTATTGG